AATGGGAGGATTGATTCCATAAGATGAAGCAATGCTTCCATATCCCTGGATACTCTAACTTCTCCTTTCCTTACCGTTTCCCTCTACTCGCATCTCATCAATCCCCTCTCCCCGCCGTTAACTCTAGTCCCCAGTGCTTCGTATTGAAGTGGAAATCCTGCCTATATCAAAACCGGTATATCCTATCTTTAGAAAGATATATGTATTTCCTCGGCTACTCCCAATAATAGCAGGTCAGCACCAAACATATATCCATTAAAATCCACCCCCCCTGCCTTCTATATAGCCTATACGATTACAATCCAGCCCCCTCACCAACTTAGAAAGCCGGCCCTGTCAGCGTGGGATATACATCCCAGCATTTAACCTGCCACTATTCCCGTTTTGAACCCCCCCCCCCCCCCGGTGTACGGGGCAGTGCTCAGGGCTGAGCCATGTGGCGAGCTATCTTTACTGAGTTAAAAAAAAATAAATCACTGGTAAAACTCTAGATTGCAATTCTTCTGTGCTGACGTTTTTTCCCCTTCTCACACAAGCATATATACATACATTAGTGTCAAGTATCCCAGTGTTGTTCCATCCCACGCCATCTAGAGCAGGTAGCTAGATACGCGGAGGATCTAATAATAACAGTGTTGGGATAGCAATGGAACGGGACGGGAAAAGAAACGGGCGACATAATAACATATCCTAGCTTGGATTGTGTAGGGAGATTGCGCAAGGATATGGGGGGGGTGAAGGTCGTTTCAGCATATGTTCGTGTTGTCTGTGCCATGCATTACGTGGGGGAATGCTTAAAAAGTTTATTTTGTTTTTTTTTCCTGGTTATTTTGGATCGATCGCGGTGAACCTTAATTGTGGGAATTCGGAGATGGGATGGGACTATCCTGTTCAAGGGGTGTGGGGCCGGGAAGGAAGGGGGGTCTGGTTGTAGAAATCATAAGAACCGTAGGGCGGTCCGATATTCTACATCCTCTTCGATCTCGGGATGGATCGGGATCGCAATTGATTTTAAGATGATACATGGCCTTGGGAAAGTTGGGTGATATAAAAAAAAATAGACTTGAGAGCCGGGAGTTTGGGAGGGCATCACTGGAGGTGGTAGAATGGATGAGGTGGAAGAGTGCTCTCCGGTGTTCACCGGTTTTCATTATCTGTGAAAGTTCCTGTCTACTATTATGCACGAAACACACCAAAACGATCTAGTTAATGTTCTAGAAGAGTCTTTTTTGAACATTCCTTGCATAATTCCTCAAACATCCTTTTCCGTGTCCTTGGGAAATAATTTGGTCCTGGGACAAGGCTGATAGCGACGGATGCAAGTAGAGAAAAACTATTCCCTGCTGAGAAGGACTCAATTCGTCCGCTTCAAAAAGGTCCACCGCGTTCTGGAGTGACTTTGTGAACCTTATATTTGCTTCCTAACTGCACCCGAATCCACCTTTGGGGATTTTTGACACATGGGTTTCACGATCGGTGGATCCGGCTTGTGGGTAGGCCCAATTGGATAGGCTAGAAGGTCCTAATCAGTCGGATACTCTGCCGTCTTTGTGCCAGAGCTTTCCATTTTTTTTTTTTTTTTTCAGTTTGACAATTGCATGCATCGTTTGCCGGGTGATGCGTATGATATCGATTTAAGGATCGTAGATATCCACATAGTGGAGAAAAATCACACGGTATGAGAACTGTGGGTCCTCCAAAGTCCAAGCATCAGCATTCTTTGCATCTCTGATAGCTGCAAGGTTATCGGCGATTCAACATATGTGGGTCTGACACGGGAGGAAAGCAATATCGCTTCGTGATCTATACTTCGTTTCATCGTAATCGCAGCTCCATCTGACGCTCACCCTGCAAGAAATGATTGTAGGACCAAGTAGGCACCGAGAACACCTAGGCTAGTTGCTAAAAGCAACCCGTTGCCCTCCCATGTGAGACCCAGGTAGGCTGCTACACCTACAACGATCTCCTTCCGTCTCGCGATCGCCCTCTTGCGTTTCCAGTCGGGGTCGATCTCAAATGGCGGCGCAAACACAGGAGGGGCTGAGACGGGAATGAGCGGCACGGAAGCGGAAAGGGCAACGGCTCGATGGTCTGATGTTTCGAATAAAGGCAACGCATCGTATCCGTGAACCTCAATGCGCTGGGAATTGGTCGATATTGAGGACGACGCATCTCGATAAAGGATCCGATCGCACCAACTTGGCCACCGGTTTTTGGACCAGGTCCATTGTCCAAGTGGGGAGTCATCAACGGGTCGAGAGGCCCGGAGCGAGAACTTGTATGTGGGTAGGAATCTGATGGGAGCTTCTGAGAAGTTTTGTAGCGTCCTTTCCTGTTGGAGTTCGTGGGATAGCTGATCATTTTCCAGTAGTCGAGAATAGTGGTGAGGACTATGTACGTCATCTGTAGGTCGAGGAAATTTGATATGATCCTTTGGCCCTGGGCGAGTGGACAATGTTCGATAATTGAAATCTCCAGCAGTGAAAAGGTATGATACGGGTGAATATAGGCCGTCATGCCTCCCTCCCTCAGCCAATTCGGTTTGGAGGAGCGGAACATCCTCCTCATTCTCTCCATGCCGAGACCGTATAATTTCACTCTTGTCTGCCTTCGAAAAGACAAGCCTTTGGCTAATGCTCTTCCAGTCTTGATTCCTCCTCTCAACGGCCCACTCGTTGGGTGCAATATGCGCTGCAACAAAGGTCATGTCAATGGTGTCTTCGTCTGCTCCATTGATTTGATAACCAATTCGTGCTCCTGCCGCTCCCTTATTCCCCATATCCTGCGTGCCAACCCCGACCTCCGCAGTTTCAACCCTGGCTATCTTCTCGGCCACATCCTCCCGTACAAAGACCATTATCGCCGTCATTCCCGCATTCTTGGTAACGATACTGCGGTATCGTTCGTCGCCCGATGCTATATCCACGGCTCGGCGAAGGGCATTGTAGTATGGGTCGAGGAACGAGCCCCCAAGAAATGCGTAGGCGATTGGAGCAACTTCCTGTAGTGAGAGCACCAGGACCTCGGGGAGATCAGTAGACTGAGGCCCGGATTTAGGGAGGACGTCGAAAAGATGGGACGCAAAAACGTCGCTTTGGACCGCATTCCGGGCACAGTTGAAGGTCAGGACGTATACTCCTAGCCGCGCCATGTCAGTGACCTTCGTTTGGGTTGCTGGTTAGCCCTGTCTCATGGTAGCTTCAGAGAGCATCCAAGCCCGAAAGATGTACACAAACAAGTTCGAAGTTCCAAGGTTGGCAGTGGGCGGTTTGGGTCAAGAGCACGTGATAGAAAGTCAACCACCTCCATCCAGCTAAAGAATTGGAAGAAATACCAGATTTCAGAATGTCTTCGAAAAAAATGAGAAAGTATGGTATCGGATTGATTGTCATGTATAGCTTGAAAAACAGTCATGGATATTATATCATCTTGTCATTACCTAGAGCCTACTCGTTAACCCCGAGAATTTGTTCGCACACCCAATGTAGAAAGGTCGCAGCCTTATCATACAAGTACCGAAGTGTAATGCATGTAGCGGTGTCAATGCGAATGGAGAAATGAAAGCAGGATCTACAGAGAAAATGGTAAAATATTGGTCTGGATGGAGGGTTATTATGTTGTATCAGCTACATACTAATTGTTGGCAAATTGAAAGTTGAAAAAAGGGGGATAATCAAATAACCTATCTATAAACTATCGCCTTTCCTAAAAGGCCAAAGCATCAATGCTTAAACAAATAGGGGATGGGGGTGGGATGCCACTAGAAAATACCAAATTCGGTACGGGATGAGGAGGACACCAGGTTAATCCAGTCAGGAAATGGCAAGTAACCGGATAACAATGCTATATCAAGAGGCTTGAGTAGAACCAAAGTGTTGGAGTGAGTGCTCTTGGGTCCGCAGTGTTTATATTCCCAAGCATGGCTGAAGATTGCATACAGCCCGAGTACCGCGTCCAAAGATATTCTGTCCTCATCTCTATTTCCCTTTCACCAGTAATTCCACAGCGAACTCAAACCTGGAAAGCAAAGTCCTCGCTCTGCTCCTTGCTCTCCCCTTCCACAAGTAAGGCCTGTACATGATCCAAAACCTCCCCTGCAATCTGCCTGTCATCATCAAATGACAATGTCTTGAGAGAATCCCCAAACGATACCCACATAGTATCAAAATCCTCGCCCTCTTGCTGCACCTCCCTCTTCTCCTGTCTCTCTGCGGAGTTCCCCTTTGCAGCAAACCAGAAAATAATCTTAAGAGCCCCTTCTTTCGTCACACGCTGTTGTACTGCCACTGGTTCTGTGATCTTGTTGTGGTTCTCAGCTGAGTCCAGGATAGCAGGAACTGTTGCAAGAGTCTGGATTCTTAAGGGAAGCAGTTCAACCCGATGACCGGCTTCTTCAAAGGTCTCGCGCAAGGCTGTCTGCTCAAGTGTCTCGCCAATGTCCTTACGGCCCTTGGGGAGAAAACATTCACCATTTGTGCGC